CCTATTACATGGGACTCGTAACATAAATAGTGAAAAGTGGGTGTTACATTGTACAGTGGCATAATGTGCACCTCTGCCTACCTCTTCGGGATAAAAAGGCGTGATGTTATGTAAAACAGTGTGCTAATGGCGGTCTGCGGTTTCAGTTGTTCCCGCATTGCAATACATTATATACAACACTTACGTTTACTTCGTAGACGCTATGTACTATATGCCACGTAACGTCGTATTATTTTGTGGGTATCTTAATAATTAGAGAGCTACTTACTGAATTCGCTCAGTATTACTGAAGAACCCGAAATTGGCTTCCACAAACTTTACTTCTCCTATACATCCACTTTGGATAGCTTTCTCCATTTCAAGATATGCAGGAGAGAATCGGGACCAAACTCCTTCCATTAGAAATAGATTTTTCTTCTTAGCCAAATCTACAAGCTTCTTGACTTCTTCACTGGACATTCCAAAGGGTTTCTCACAAAGAACATGTTTCCCATGCTCCAGGTACAATTTAGTGAGCTCATAATGGTAAGGATTTAGGGCTCCAATGTAGACTACATCTGAAAGAAAGGAGTTTCTTCTTGAAGGATAAAATCGTTTCTATAATTGACATTATCTTTGCATGTTAAGTCTCGTAAACTAATTGTTGTTACACAGCCATAATCAGTAACTCTAATTTAACTGCATGAATGCACCGATATGAGACACAATAGAAAATATAATATACAAAAGATATGCGTTCCATACACACGACAGGTTAAGTATGACCAAGTATGTTAGTAGTAAATTATTATGTTTTCGGCTTACTCACGTAGTAGCATGAATATGGAGAATATATTTTTTACGACTTCAAAAAAAGAGGGCGTTGATGTTGGTCGTTGAAGTTTTTTAAACATAGTTTATATTTAATCTGCCTCGTTGGCCGAGTGGTCGCAAGCGCAACTGCCGGCTCGGGTTCGATTCCCGGGTCGGGTCGGGCAATGTATTACTGGGTTTTGTTCAAAATTCTCAGTAGTAGCACAGAGCCTGGAATTGTGCCCGGTATATGGCAATAGGCTCACGCCCTATTACATGGAACTCATAAGTAGTGAAAACTGGGTGTTACATTCTAAGTGCCGAAATGTGCACCTCTGCCTACCCCTTCGGGGATAAAAGGCGTGATGTTATGTAATGTTATGTTTATGTTTAATAAAATAATTATTGACTTTATAAATTTCGAACAGATAAACACTTTATTAAACCTGTAAACGTAGACCTTGATATGATTAAGGAAAATAACAGTTACTTGCCAACATCAGCACAACGAGCCATATCTTCATAACTGCCTGCTAGCATAACATTATGAATTTGTGCAAACTCGTGAGCTCTTTCTCGGTCTCGCGCCGCCACAGCCACTATCTTTTGATCTCCTTTATCCGGAGATGAGTTCAAAGCGTTAACAAAATCATTGCTAATCTTTCCCGCAGCTACGATACCCCAGTGAATGGTCATCTGTAACAAATTGAAAAATATTTTCATAACTATATTCATAAAATTCTCAGTAGTAGCACCGAATTTACTATTGTAGAAAATGACAATAGGCTCACTCCTTATTACATTGGGCTCATAACATAAATAGCGAAAAGTGGGTGTTACATTGTACAGAGTGCCATTTAGTGCCATAATGTGCACCTCTGCCTACTCCTTCGGGGATAAAAGGCGTGATGTTATGTGTTATACCTGTATACATTAAGCCAAGTATCGGTTTTTAAAGGATACATAAAATTAGTTGTTCATTTTACTATGATGACAAAATTAATTGGCCGTGAAATGATAATATCGCATCGATTATGGAGAGGTAAGATGGCAGTCGTTCTGTTTCATAATTTGACATTTTAGTCAGCTCATTAGGGTCAGTGCTTCCCTCAAGAAACTAAGGGAAAAATTACATTATTATTAAACGGAATAGATATCATAGTTACAAAACTAGAGGTATTTAACGTTTTTAACGAAAACAATGATACAATCTTACTTTTCTCGTTTCTAGACTTGATAAACACCACGATTATCACCGAACACTAACTCCAAACTAATAAAATTACATCATTACATCTAGTTTTATAACTATTCACTTCGATTAATCACAAGTACCTATTGATCTGTTGATACTTGTAATACCAAGGTCCATATGCACTCAAACAGCAATATGTTATCTACTTCCGTAATAATATATATAAATAGCATTCAATCATTTTATTCCCATAAGGGCGAAAACATAACATAACAACATAACATAACATCATGCCTTTCATCCTCGAAGAGGTAGGCAGAGGTGCACACAGTGTAGGCGAAAACAGAAATGAATAAAAACAAATCACCGATTTTATAATAACTATCGTGAGACACTAAATTAACTAAAATCGCGGGTTTCTCACGTGAATATACTGAGAAAAGTGAGCTCACTCAGTGAGCTGCGCGACGTCGACGCTGCGACCGCGCACGCTGCTCATGAGGAAGAACCCCTCTGTGGTTCGAAACTAGTAGAGCTTTTCTCATTATATTCACGTGAGTAACCCGCGATGTTAGTTAATTTAGTTAAATCACCGATTAATACTCTGTACACGTTCATTACATTAACATATACACATTCTAAGACAAAATATGTGAAAGAAAAATTGGCACATTCACCCGAATCAATGGGAAATGTTACCGGGCCAAGCTGGAAGGACTGTTAGTTCAATAAAAAGATATAGGTAACACGTAATTGATGAGCCCATGTAACACAAATCGAGCCTATTGCTACCTATAGAACATTACATTTCAAGAAACATTGTATGCAACGCAAGCTAATACAATTAATCACTCTTGCAATTTCCTTGAACCTACATATTTAGTTCGCCCGATTGCTCTCAATACATTAATCCTATTTAAGTTTGCTACTTGGCGACATCCCAGCACTAATTTAGTGTTGTTCGGCGATAGTTGCCCACTGACCTCGTGTCAATGGCATTTTATTGCCAGATTATTCCCCAGGCGAACATAAATCCACGGTAGGCCTTCCAACATATTGTATCACTTAAATTATGCATTTGGCAATTCGGTTACATTGCATATAAAATTATGCTGATTGCGCACTACTGTTTTTTATATTTGACTAGCTTTTATACGAGGAACGAAGGTCGTCCAAAAATGCGTATGGTGGACAGTTATCGTTAGAATCACTGGAGACATATAGTCGAGTGAGGAGACGGGGAAGTTTGCAAAAAAAGAAAGAGTATGAACCTACTTTGCAGTGGGTATACATGAATCTTCGTCCTACTTAAATTATTAATTGGTATATCTTTCCATGATTGTACTTATCCAAAATTGGTTAAGTACAGTAGTGTTAGTAGCCTAAAATGGTAACGTACAAACTTACTTTGACATAAATATAACATAAATATGAGTTGAATAAATTAGATGTTGGGCTAGTTCAAAACATTTTAGCAAATCCAAAAACGAAGATCGCAAAGGGATTATGTGAATTGGTGAGAGTGACATAGCTTTTCTTTTATTTATCGCATACCTTGTTAATGATTCCCTTTCATTTACAGAGTATATTTAATTAGATAAGGTACGATGGGGTTGACGTATCCATATGGACAAAAACCCCCTAAAATAATAAAAATAAAGAGATTAAAAAAACAATATATCATCACGCCTTTTTATCCCCGAAGGTGTAGGCAGAGGTGCACATTACGGCACTCAATGCCACTGTACAATGTAACACCCACTTTTCACTATTTATGTTATGCGTCCCATGTAATAGGGGGTGAGCCTATTGCCATATACCGGACACATTTCCAGACTCCGTGCTACTACTGAGATTTTTTGAAAAAGCCCAGTAATACTTTGCCCGACCCGGAAATTACCCGACCCCGAGACCTCTTGCCCGGCAGTCGCACTTGCGACCACTCGGCCCATGAGGCAGTCATCGCCATCTTGTTGGTTGATTAGCAATGCGAATGGTGCGATAGGATGGAGTAGGTACTTCAGCGCAGTTCAGTACTTATTTAAAGATACATAAGTGGTGCACGGCTGGAAATACGGGCTCTGATAAGAATATCATCGAGATTACGCAGTTGGCACAATGGCTAGGAAACAATTATATTTGATGCACAAATTATGTTTTGATGCTCTGTGAACATAAATACATAACACAAGAGTTAAGGTTATCCCACATTTAAAAAGCACGGCTCTAACCCAGCCATTAAGTTGTCATTTAACTCGTCGAGTACCGGTTTTGTAGACACAATTATAGAACAATAGGTTGCGATCACCGGTGACCGCTTGGTGTTTGACAGTTTAAATATGAACTTTAAATCGTATTTCGTATGATACATTTCGTAACTTCAATACAAAAAGCCGACGGCGGGTGGTCAACGAGCGGTCCACTCGAGGTGTAGTTTTAGAAGCGTATGGTCACCGCGCCGACGCCGCGCCGGCCTCACGCCGCCCGCTTTAAATGTGGGATGACCTTTAATAACATCTAGTGTGTATAACATTGCCCTTCGTACAGTCTGGTGATAAAAAAAAGAAAATAAAAATACAATTATTTTATACTCCTTTGTTCATAAAGCTCTTTTTATGACGAAAAATCGTCGAATGACTTCTTTATCTTCTACATCAAGCTCCACTAAACTATAAATAAAAGAAACGATTTAAGACTTAGAACTTTCCTAGAATAAATAATTTAAGTTACTCAACAAAAACAGCGGTTTAAAGAACTATTAGTAGTTCTACAACTAAAAGTAAAACCAATCTATACTGAAGAAGTATATAAAACGTCTGAAGTCATAGTAAACGACTTTTGAAGGAAAGTAAGTCCTTTTGTTTAGTTTCTCACCATGGAATAAGGATCAGATTCCTGTCGACTTCGAACAGTGGCAAAGTTCTACAAGTTAATGAAATAAGTCGCCACTTTGAGCTAATTCGTCCCATAGGAAGTTTGTAATAGGTACTTTGTAAGTATCTTGACCTATCTTTTACGTGGAATTCTATTGCAATGCCATTTTTCTAGTATGTAATAGAATTATAGAGCTCTTACGTTCTATTTCTTTTTATGGCATAAGCCTCTAAACGAGGAGACGGTTCACCTAAAATAGTAAGCAATCGGCGTCGCCTATGGACACCCGAAACACCAGAGGCGTCACAAGTACGTTACCGGCCTTTTGGGGATTAGGAATTTGAGACTTGTTGGGGATTCAGTTCTAACCTGGAATAAACAATAGTACATTGAAAATAATATTATCTTCAATTAAGTAATGTATATTTTTATTGGATAAAGATGAGAGGTCTTAGCGATACATAAAAATCAATAATACCAGAAGGGTTATAAGTACGTCACCGGTTCAGTATACGGTATTAGTGAAACTGAAACAGTGTTTATTCATAAACAGACGTAACAAATGAACATCAAAAACCGGGTTATTTTGGTCACAGTAATAAAATATTTTATGGTTAATTTTAATTACATAATGTTATTAGGTGTGCAGTAAATTTGAGGCTACACCACAGTTTTGGTGTGACCATTCTGGGGCTCCATAATCTAATACTTTGGGGTCATCGCTAACTAAATTAATGTTTCATTACCTGGAAGGTTTCAGTCCCTTTTACAACTCATAATTGTGCAATACTGTTAAGGAATTTATGTACCTAAAATGTTAATTAGATAATGTCCTTCTCATCTGAATAATTGTACAATATTACGTACATCAATTGAAGTAGACGTTCGATAAAAGCTCATGGCTCTGGTTTCATGTTACACCGCGGGACTCATATACATGAGATACCGACGAAACCTTGATTCGCGACGTGCACTTTATACTCAAAGCTTGGCCCAATTTTAAGAACACAATAAAATTGTTAATTAATTAATTATTATTTTTAAAAGCACTCCCAATGATTCTGTTAACCTACTTTTTGGGACTTTATAACAAACTTTGTAATTAAATCCTGTCCTACTTGTTTCCTAAAATTAATTACAATATTACACCGTCCATTAATAATCACTTATCTTATATTACCAATTAACCTAAAAGCATAATTTGGTTAATAATTTTAATTTTAATTTAACACCGGCCAGATACCAACCTTTCAGGAATTAGGTCAATCTATTGTGACTCTAATTTGACATTAAAATCGAATAGGCTGTTGAATTTTTACATAACATTTCGTTCACAGCCTTGTTCTATAAAAAAAAACCTTGAAAAAATAAAGACACAGTCTCTTGATACAACGACTGTGGCACCTGCCTACTATAGATTACACACAGAACATAAACACATTGACACGAAGGACATCTGTCATTTTCTTAATAGGTTAGATGACTAATTTTTATTTTAATGTCCGTCGGGTACACAGATATATTAAAGAATATTTCTGTGGTCTGGTAGATTATTTTAAAACATTCGACACGTATTTTTTATTTTTTACAGAAACGAATACTTTCGATGATGTATTGATTTGAAATGTAGCATGACTTCTATGTACATTTTCTACGTAGAAATTACGTTTTAGCCCCCTCTCCTAAACTTTGATGCGCTTTTTCTAAGTATTGTTTTAATATACGACAAAATAAAAAATACGTGTCTAATATTTTTTCATTACCTTTATTAACTGACGGACTTTAGATTTTTAATTCTCATACCTTGTCATCATCCCTGTTCTCGTAACCCATTACACACGCACACATAAAAAAACACAGACATTTTGGTACTTCACTTATTTCTAAGTCAAATATCTCCGCTTTTTTTAACGTCCTTGGAATATCAGTTAAAAGTTTATGAATTGAGTGAAAAGCTTACCATAGATGTGCATACAGATGTTCATGATCATTACGACTATTGATAAAAATATTATGTTAAACCTTTTTAAGGAGTAAAATCATCGAATGGCTTCTCCCGCCTGGGTGAGGCGGGAAGGAGTGTTAGACTCTTACTGACTAAAAACCACTCCGTTCCTACTTCGAACCGGAGCCCTGGCAATCCATTAAGCCCTCCGCGGCTCTGTATCGGCATCAGCCCTATTGGGCCCCAGCCGTAAT